ACTCTGTTTCCCAGGCCCACATAAAAAATCCAGCTATAATCCCTATACCTACCACCATACTCACCCACTCTCGTGTCCTCAACCCTAAGAATGTCCATGGTCCTATCATGTTGAGAGTACCTGCATGGTGAACACCTCAGTCTTAAAGTCTATCCCATGCATACCAGATTAGTGTTTTCAGCTTTGATTTGCTCAATTGCTCATCTAAATAGTTGATTCTGGATCATGAATATTTTTTTTTTTTTTTTTTTTTTTTTTTTTATAATCAATCAATAATTATAAAAATAATATTAATAATCAATCAATAAAAATAATCTATAATCAATCAATAATTATAAAAATAATATTAATAATCAATCAATAAAAAAATAATCAATAATCAATCTTCCCCCTGTTTTATCACAATCCTGTGATAAATTAAACATCCCTTATAGGCCAATTTGTCACCCCCACCATTATCACTTATGTCGGATCCAAACCACGTCAGTTAAATGCACAGTCCCCTTGATCAGCCCAATCCATAAAGTCAGAGAAATTGCCAAATTCTTCAATAACCTGAAGTCCATTGACCATAATTTCAAACCCCTGAATCCCAAAATCTAAAATGGCAATATCCTGATATTCAACATCCTGAACCTCATCGCCCTGACCTTCAACAACCCAATCTCCAATGTCCAGGACCTCAAAACCCTGTCCTCCACCATCTCTAATGTCAAAATCCTGATATCCAGACTCCTGAACCTCAGGGGCCAGAACCTCAACCTCCCAATCTCCAAAGTCTGGAAGTCCAGAGCCCCAAAGTCCAAAATCCTCAACTCCCAACAGTTCCAGAAGGTCTCTCATACTATTGTCATCACTAGTCCCTATGCCATCAGACACTTGCATCACAGGGCTATCTGGAGGGACTCTATAGGTGCATTATAGGGTTGTTCCGCCCTCCCTAGAACTCCCCATGTTCTAACTAATAGAGTCAGACACTTCCCTCTCTGTCCCCCTGTCGGCCTCCTTTTCTGATGACGTAGTGATATCTCTCATTACATCAAGCAGGGATCTTTCTGGTGCACTAGTGGGCCTAGTGTGTGATATGTGCACAAATGATGACTCTGTAGTTTGTGAGTCGTCTAAGTAATATTTCAAAGTATACTCGTATAGTTTGGAGATTTTAAATGGGCCTTTCCAAGTTAGCTGATCCCAACAATGTTTCTGGTTTTTCACATAAATGTAGCCTCCAACTGTAAGTTTGTCTTTTACAGCCTGCAAAGGGGGCTCTGGAGATTTCTGGGTCAGCGTGACAATGTTATCTTGCAGAAACTTCACTGTAGTGACCAATGTTTTCATATAAGTTTCCCTAGCATCATCAGTGGCTGCTGGAGGTGGGAGCTCCAGTGAACGAGATAAGTTACTGGGCATGTGTCTCCCATACATTAGTTGAAATGGTGACATAAAAATTGGCCTGCTTGGTTCTCCTCTTATTGCCATCAAGGCTATAGGCAGTGCCTGTTTCCAATTCATTTTTCCAGCCCTACACATGTGTGCCAATCTGTTTTTCAGTGTCTGGTTGAACCTTTCAATCACCCCTTGTGATTGCGGGTGTAACACTGCTCCAAAATGCTGTTTTATATTCAGCCTCTCACATAGTTGGGTCATTGTCTGGTTCTTAAAATGCGAGCCGTTATCAGATCTGATAACTCTCGCTGGGCCGTACCTTGGAAAGATCTCTGTCAAGAATACTTTGGCTACTGATTCTGCATTTGCTTTTGCCAAAGGAAAAGCTTCAGGCCATCGTGTGAGTGGGTCAATCATTGTGAGCACGTATCTACACCCATCCGCTTTCTTATCAGCAGTCATGTCGATGAAATCAATTACGATTTCTGCCATGGGCCATGGAGGCACTGGGTATGCTCCTATGCCTGCCTTCACAGCCCTTGCCTTAGAGAGCCCTTGACATATGTCACATGAGTCACATAGATGCTGAATGGTTGGTAGCATAAAAGGATGGAACATGTGCCGTCTTAGTTCTGAAAAAAGTTTTGAGCACTTTATGTGTGTTTCCTCATGCTTACTTTGAATGATCTGTAGTAGTTTTTTAGTAGTCACGCACGGTTTACCAAATGTATCATAGAATACTCCTTCACTGTTTTTAATGGCCCCTGCAGTTTTCCATGCTGTCACATCATACAGTGAGGGATTTTCTTGCAATATGTGTGGACTGTTCTCTTCTCTTTCTTCAACTGGTGCCTCTGTTCCCTCAGGATTGTCTTCAATAACTCCCTGCAGAGCCGTACCTATCCTGTCATACCCAGCTGTCATTTTAGCAACTCTATCAGCAAACTCATTGCCCTTTGCCACGAAGTCTCTGGCTCGAGTATGTGCTCTGCACTTGACCAATGCAGTTTTGTGACGTACATTCTTGATTTGGTCTGCCACCTTCTGCCATAATTCCAAATGTGTAGGTCTCAAATTTTTTGTTGTGATGAAATTGTCATGCAATACCCAGATTGGCAAGTGTAAATGCACTGTAGAATGCACATACTCAGAGTCAGTATATATTGTGATAGGTCCTTCTGACCTGTTCTCCAAAGCCAGGCTAAATGCTACTAATTCTGCATACTGAGCTGACTTCCCTGCCAGCGCCTCTGCCTTCAGTATGTTAAAATCAGGATTGGTAACAGGTGATGTTTCCCTGTCATGGATGACTGCTGCTGCGCTTGCAACCAATGCTCCAGTTTTGTCTCTATGCGAGTGTCCATCTATAAAAATAGCATGTGACCCCTCAATCTCTGACCTGCCCAACTTTTTGATCAAGTTTGTTTCTTCACTATGTTGGACCTCACACTGGTGAACTGGGCCTGAGATAGTAAATGGTAATATTGGAGAGTCTGTTGGTTCAAATGTAACTTGCATATTTACGAGTAACAGATGAATCTTTTGAGACATTGAATTTGTCAATGCAAATGTGTTCCCCTTCAAAGCTGCATACATGTTATGTGGCGTTCTCACAATAACCTCTGAGTCCAAGATTATGTGTGATGTGGAAACCAGTGAGTTCTTAAGGGCCATTACATAACGTGCACATGAGAAGTGGTGTGCTTCTGATCCTCTGAGATTGGAGCTGAATATGTACAATATTTTGGGTGCATCTGCTATTTTCTGAAACAACACTGCACAATAATAATCTCCAGTCATTGTGATTTCCATCATAATTGGGTATTTCCTATCAACGCAGTGTAAAGTCTGCACCATTGATAGTTTTTCTTTGATTGATTGAAATGCCTGTGCTTGCTCCTCAGTCCATGTCAAGATCCCATCATAATCTGTGTAGCCTACATCAATCAACATTTTCTGCAAGGGCTTCATCATGTAGGAGAAGTTGAAAATATATTTCCTGATATAGCTTGCCGTATTTATGAAGGACATCATTTCTCTCACTGTTTTTGGTTTGGGAAACTCTGATAGTTTGATCAGTCTTGACTGGTCACACATGACTCCTTCTGAAGTGAGATAATCTTTAGAAACGATACTCTCTGTCTTACAAATGCACACTTGTCATAATCAATTTTGAATCCCTTTTCTGCCACTACTCTAAGTACTTTCATAGTGATTTCTGTACATGCCTCTTCAGATACTCCTGAGATTAGAATATCATAATCCCCTTTATCCACTCATCTAATGTTACAGATGCCATGTTTTCTACCGTCTAGATTACAAGCCTTGTGTTATCAATATCAATGTAAAAAATCAGCAATTGGGTGCGTAATCTTAGAGCGTCAGATCGTGGTATCTCCCCGTTCAACCACAAGTGGTGGGGAAATGTACGCACGAATCGTGACCCCGTCCTACGCGACCCAAGTTACTGCGTTCACTGTGACCGTTTGTGCAATGGTCACTTTCAACAGAAAACATCAATCACTCATTCACACCAAGAGAAAAATTAAAAAGTGAGAAAAGTTAGACACTGTCCCTGTCCTCTCCCTCTCGTCAATTAATTAAAACACACAGTTTTCTCCTTCAACTATTAAATCACTGAGATAACACACAGTTGACTCCTTAACTCATAAATCACTTAGATCCTCACACACAGTTTTCTTTCCTTTAGGTTAACTATCAATCACTGAGATAAAACACACAGTTTTCTCCTTTTCTTACGTCACTTAGACTTAGAATACTATTATCCCAATAAAATATAAAATACTTGCAAATCCTTCAATATTTACCCTACTTGGTGTTTGTTTGTTTTTATTTTTTATTTTTAGGTCTCAGGTCAGGTGAAAGGAAAGATTAATTAGTTGGTAACAATCTTACCGTTTTACTTTGGCGCCAAATTAATCTTTTCTCTGACCGGTCCTAGTGTCTCCTGTCGAAATCCTGTTCGAGCGACGCCAAGTTCTGCAGTAATTTGTCAGAATTCCCCCGCCCCAGAAGCTGCAGAGAGGCCGCAAACACAGCCCTTCGTTCTGCAGGTCCTTTTAGTTCAACAAGAGACAAAAACCAATGTTAAAACAGTGATAGAAATGACAGATACCAAACCTGATTTCAAAAAGGTTATATTGAAGATTTTGCAAGCAATATTACAAGATAACGGTCCGCGAACAGATCTCGCTTCGCGTTCAGATAAGGAGTGGCCCCCGGGGACGTCTCACTGCTCCTTGTCAGACGAAAAAGCAAAAAGTCTCTCGTGACCACTCCTGCACATACATTTATACTTTACATCCAAGGTCAATGACATCACAACTGTATGGACTCCACGACTCCTTCTGGCCAGCTGCCAACGTTTGCACCTGCTCTGATAACACTTGTCTCCCTCTTGTCCCCCTCCCATCTCAGACTAACCTTGAACTCACTGCTCTTTGAGATTTACACAAACAAGTGCTAATTTGGCAACAGAAACAATACTAAACTGATTTTAGTTTTTAACTGGTGCAGGAGTTAATATTCCAACACCTTCCACCGTGTTTTTTATCTTAAAGTTTAATCACATTGTACCTTGTTAATCCTCGCAGAGATCTGTCTTCTGACCAAGGGCAGGCGCACGGCCAGTGTTCGCGCCGACACGTACTGCCGCCTCTTCTCGCTGTCCGTGGACCACTTCAATGAGGTGTTGGAGGAGTACCCCATGATGAGACGGGCCTTTGAAACCGTGGCCATTGACCGACTGGACAGAATCGGTAAGACCCTCAGTCATCTCTCTCCTCACTGTCTGATGTACCTTATATAGTCTGCCTGTTCTCTGCTTTCCGTTGGTTCTTCTCAGCATAATGTTTGTTTGCCGCCATTTTTTTTTTTTTACACAAGCACCGTGTCCGCCATTTTGTGCTGCATGACCCGTATGCAAGTCATCGTTTGTCCTGTAGCCTCTGGATTTGTCGAAACCAGCTTTAATCCTTCTAAAGAACCAAAGTGGAGTTTTGTGGTTGGATTAACTGGAGGCAGTGCATGTTCCTGTGTCCGGGAGGGAGTCAGGACGCCCCCTCGTTGGTTTGGTGTTGACCCCCCCACTGGATGCTAGCGAGTGGTTAGAAGCTAATGCATGTTTGTTCGGCCTTCTTCCACTCATCCGCAATCCTGGGTATGAGCAGCACCCCATTTTGGGAAACGTAGTGTAGGTCAAAGATGTCAGAGTGGTTTCAACACACCACTAAAGTCTGTCATCTGCAATGGCCATCACACACAACAAAGTTTAAAAAGACTAATTATAAATCCATAAGTATCATTGTTAAAAGGGGCACATGTATACGGAGCACTCAAAGGGCAATAATTTACTTTTCAAATTGAATTCAGGACATTATTCTAGTCTTTTTTGTAAATCTCTCCAGCGTGAGATCAATAAAGTTTATCTGATCTTATATTTTTTTTTGTTTTATTATTACCTTTCACAATTGCCACTTGAGAACAAGCCCTCACCAAAACAAAATGATGCTAACTGCTAATGATGCTAGCAACTCACAATAGTTGTTGATTTTTCATTTCTGTATTTTCTTGTACCGCTAAGGAACTACCTTCACAACAAGCGCTTTGTGGAAGCTAATCATTTCAGAGTAAACGTCAGATTTGGTTTGTCAAATACTTCATTATTAATAAACATGACATCGTAGATTCAGTACTTTCCTAAAAACAAGTAAAAAAATGTAGAGATTTTTTCAGACAATGTTTATTTGTTGTGGTTGTTTTGCCATGGGTTTTTTGTAGTCCTTTGCCTTCGCTTTGCAATCATCGTGTCCAGCTACCAATATCCTGTATTTAAGCTAGCAGCAGTAAGCTAGCAGCCGCCGTAGTAACGCCACTAAAGCCTCCCTTATGGAGACGCTCACAGATCTACTACATTACCATACATTTTTTTGTTTTCCTTGTTTCCATAAGTGCCCTTGAACAGAAACATTTGCCCTTTTTGAGAGTAATTGTGCTGTGGGGTATCCGTCTCATACGAGGGAAGATACTTTGACATGATCAGTGCTGGTTGTATCCTTTCTCTTTCTGGAATTGCATTTGGTTACATGCTTGTCTTGCAATAAACTAAAAGTAAACAACGTAACCATGCTTTGAAGCAAATGACATACTGCACATTTGACACTATCTTTTATCTAAAAATTATCTGACCAGGAGTCCGTCTTGAGACGAGCACATCTCGTTTTCAAGAGTGTCCTGGCCGACGAGTAGGCATCAGGTAAACGCTTTATTCCAATACTAGTGTTCAGACGGCAAAGTGCTAAAGCTAATCTGGTCTCTAATCCATCCAGAGTCGTACTGTTACTGTCACTGTGTAGAACTCACTGACACATAACTCAACCTCATTCAGGACAATCAAGGAAACAAAGCTGTCATTTTCTTTATTTCACTTCACTTTGAAAGAATAATTGTTTATGGATTATTTCTCGACACAGACTTCTACAGCACTTGGTTCAAATGCATTCACTAAGTAGCTAGCATCAGATCAGGGGTCTCCAACCTGTGGCTCAGGAGCTAACATTAGCTCGCCACCCCCTTTTCAGGTAGCTCCACGAAGGATTCAAGAATTTACACTGCAAAAAATGATAAAATAGGGGGTAATAATGTGTTTTTTTATTTTAATCTGACACATTCTGACTGTGTTAAAACAAGATTCTCCAATGGGACAAAGCCAATTAGTTTTATTTCAAGAACTGTTGCTTTATTTTCTCATTCCAAGGCAGATATTTTTTGTATCTTTTTAAAACAAGATCATTTTGCTTTGTCCCTTTGACAAATCTAGTTTTAATTCAGTCAGAATGTTCTCGGATTAAGACACATTTTTCCAAATTTGAGCAATTTTTGGCTTGTTTTTCATCACTTTTTGCAGTGTAACACATGATCCTGAATGATTCACTTTTGAGTCCATACATATACAGTATAATTCAACCATAAAACTTTCCATTAAAGGTAGATAGGAGGATTTTCTACTTCCGGGTGAATCATCAAAACTATTGGTCCTCCCGATTGTCAATCATTCTGGTGATACGTGTTCGTCAGATAAGACCAGAGTGTTTTTTAGAAAAAGTGGAAAGGGCGGTTCTTTCCTAAAATGTGGTAAAATCCTCCTCTGTACCTTTAAATCAGGGAGACCGTAGAATGGTTTATTATAAATGTGTGTTCTATGAGATTTTAGAGATTATTTAGAGATTTTATAACAATTTCATGACGACGGCTGAAGGGAAAGCTCTCGGCCCGTCTCCGGTCGAGAAAGGTTGGAGACCCTTGCTTTAGGCGATGTAAATGTTCTGCCACCAACTGTTTATGAAGTCATTTTTTATTTATGTATTTATTTGTGTTTCCACCGAGTCAAGAACATTTGTTTCTGATTGTCTGTTTTAAACAATTTTACGATAGTTTATCACAGCATTCTCTTTGGTCTTTAGATTTTGACGATAAGATAAAGCAAAGACTGAGCTGTTTATGGAGATTCGATAAAAGGGGGTTGTGTTTCGTTAGTGATTTTTGATCTGGTGCGAATCGAATGTGGTTTTGATGTTTTCATTTTCATTGAGAATCTGTGGAGGAAACCCATGCACTGTAAAAAATGATCAGATATGAGGTGATAAATGCTTAGAGTGGTTTTTATCTTAATATGAGGAGATTCTGACTGTGTTAAAACAAGATTCGGCAATGGGACAAAGACCAGAGAGAGACCAGAGAGAGAGACCAGAGAGAGTGACTAGAGAGGGAGACCAGAGAGAGAGACCAGAGAGAGACCAGACAGAGAGACCAGAGAGAGAGACCAGAGAGGGAGACCAGAGAGAGAGACCAGAGAGAAAGACCAGAGAGGGAGACCAGAGAGAGAGACCAGAGAGAAAGACCAGAGAGAGGGAGACCAGAGAGAGAAACCAGAGAGAAAGACCAGAGAGAAAGACCAGAGAGAGCGAGACCAGAGAGAGAGACCAGAGAGAGAGACCAGAGAGAGACCAGAGAGAGTGACCAGAGAGAGAGACCAGAGAGAAACACCAGAGAGAGACCAGAGAGAGAGACCAGAGAGAGAGACCAGAGAGAGAGACCAGAGAGAGAGACCAGAGAGAGAGACCAGAGAGAGAGACCAGAGAGAGTGACCAGAGAGAGAAACCAGAGAGAGAGACCAGAGAGAGAGACCAGAGAGAGAGACCAGAGAGAGAGACCAGAGAGAGAGACCAGAGAGAAAGACCAGAGAGAGAGACCAGAGAGAGAGACCAGAGAGACCAAAGAGCGAGACCAGAGAGAGTGACCAGAGAGAGAGACCAGAGAGGGAGACCAGAGAGAAAGACCAGAGAGAGACCAGAGAGAGAGACCAGAGAGAGTGACCAGAGAGAGAGACCAAAGAGCGAGACCAGAGAGAGAGACCAGAGAGGGAGACCAGAGAGAAAGACCAGAGAGAGACCAGACAGAGAGACCAGAGAGAGAGACCAAAGAGCGAGACCAGAGAGAGAGACCAGAGAGAGAGACTAGAGAGAGGGACCAGAAAGAGAGACTAAACAGAGCGAGAGAGAGCGACCAGAGAACAAGATTCTCCAATGGGACAAAGCCATTTAGTCTTATTTCACGAACTGTTGCTTTCTTTTCTCATTCCAAAGGACATATTTCTTGTACTGTATCTTTTTAAAACAAGATCATTTTGCTTTGTCCCGTTGGAAAATCTTGTTTTGATTCAGTCAGAATGTGCTCAGATTAAGACACATTTTGCCCAATTTGAGCAAGTTTTGACATATTTTTCATCCCTTTTTGCAGTGCGTTGGTAATTGTTCCTCATTCTCTCTGGTATTTTGCAGTTTTCTGTCGTTGGCATAAGTTACTACAGACATTACTCAGTGTGCTTTTTCCCCACAAATGTTTAAACGAGTCTATTATGCGTTTACTATCGACAGAATTTAACCCTGTCGCCTTCAAAAACGCCATGAACGCATTTGTGTAAGTGGCAGTGGTTTGTATGTGCTGATAGATCTCCCACAGTTCTCCTTGTTTTGTGAAATAAGCATATGTAGAAAACCCCCAAAATGTGTGTCACTGTTAGAAAGTTGTAGACGATAGAAATATTTGAAGGATCCAATAAGAAACTGTAGCCGAAATTCTCCTTAACACAGTCTATAAACCGGAATTTACGAGTTTTTAGCTCAAGCGTTACTATTGACAACCGGTACAAACAAGAGCGGCCATTTTGTTTGATCTTAGCCTCGAGTAAATCATCATTGAGATTTTTCTATCGCAATATTAAATTCTCTTCTGTTGAATTTTGTTTTTGTATAGCCCTAAATTACAACAGCCGTCGTCTCGGAGGACTTTACAAAGTTGTCGATTCGCCAACAACCAATCAGAGAATCAAACCATTCCAACACAGGAAATACAATAGAAGCAAACACATAGAAGCCGACCAGACCACTGTCCTTAAACGCTAATAATAATGTGTTTTATAATCTAGTGGACTTTCTTCACGACTAGATGTGTGGTTTTTGTTGCAGATTCACAACATTTGTGTTTAGTGGGAGATGTTTTTCCACCTCATCAGTATTTTCTGAGTGTATAGAGTCGAGTCACTCTGTGTCCTCAGTGTTCCTCATCTGTTAGTCTTCATGTTCATAGACATTTCCATAGAATGTGTTTTAGTTTGACTGAACACAAAGATCCAGCTTGTACGGTGTGAAAAGTAAGATCTTGGCAGTCGATGGTTTCTCTTTCCCCAAGACAAACACACAAGCTGAATCTTTCTCTTGTCAGTGTTTCTGGTGCTGCCGCAGATGTTCGTGCTCACCTTGTCTTGACTTGTCTCCAGGGAAGAAGAACTCGTTGCTGCTGCAGAAGTTCCAGAAGGATCTGAACGCCGGCGTGTTCAACACCCAGGAGAACGAGATCCTGAAGCAGATCATTCGTCAGGACCGGGAGATGGTGATGATGGTGGACCGCAAACAGTCCGTTACCGGGATGAACTCAACTCCAATGTCAGGAAACTCCATCATTAACTCACCAGCTCAGCCGCCATACTCCACTGCCTTTGGCACCAGTCAGCTCCAGCAGTCCTCAGTACCTCTGACCTACAGTGCTTCAGCGATCGCCAACGCCTCCGCGGGCCGCATCCTGCCTGTGGCTGCGGCTGCTGCGGCCGCTGCTGCGCAAGGCGTGTTCCCTGCTGCCAGTATCTCCCAAGGAAACCTGAACTCCTCCATCTCCCAGACCCCTCTGCAGCCGCCTGGAGCCATCATGTCGCCCTGCTCCTTCACCGCTGCCATGTGCAGCCCCCCTGTACAGACCCCTCTGGCCGGCAGGAGCTTCCACTACAGTTCTCCCACGGCCTCGCAGCTCTCCCTCATCCAGCAGCCCCCCCAGCCCCCTCCCTCCCTGTCCCCACAGCCCTCCACTGCAGCAGCCTCTGCAGCGCAGCCTCCTCAGCAGCAGGCCCCCTCCCCTCAGAGGGGGGACATCCACAAGAGCACACAGGCTCTGCAGTCGGGCAGCTTGAGTCGAGACCTGCGACACTTGTCCGCATCCCAACCGTCACTGCCACACGACACGTCCCTGGGGCCGCGAGCACACCCCACCTCAGGAGACTCTCTGGCCTCCATAGTGCCACCCGCCGCCGCAGCCGCCATCCAGGGGATGAGTCTGCAGGGCATCCGCAGCACCGTGCCCCAGCGGGTCAATCTGTTCCGCCAGATGTCGTCCGGTGCTCTGCCGCCGGTGCGCTCCTCAGCAGCTGCTGCAGCTGCAGCAGCGGCTGCTCCCACCACCCCCTCCTCCAGCGGCCCCCACAGGGAGTCTCCCGGCTCCAGGAGAGATTCTGTTCTTAGCAGTACAGAGATGGAGCAGGACAAAATGCGCTTTGCATCAAATTTATGATCCTTTTTTAATTTTTGAACTATATTTAATTCATTTTTAATGATGGAGATCAAACAGAGGAGACACTGAACTCAACACGTTGGTTTCTCTCCGATGTTCTTCTACAATAACCTCATAGAAAACATGTACATACAGTTGTTGTATTATATTTTAGACAGATTGTCTCCCTAAACTTAAGAATGTATATTATACAGATACATTTCTTTTCTTTATCGCCATACACCGAGGTCTGAATGCGTGGGTCTGAGAGCGTGTGCGAGAGTGAAAAACAAAACTACAATAAACTGTTGCAGCGATTGAAGCTGTATTATAAACATGAGTCTTCCTTTCAAACTAATATACACAATGTCTGTTTATTTCCATCAGCTTTCATTACGGCTTCTATCATTGTTTTGTCAGATGCATTGTGGATATCGGGGACTTCTTTTTTACCACAAAGTCAATGGATAGTTTCTTCTTCTACTCAGCAGCTTTAGCCACCACTGTGGAGATGATCCAAGGAGACGACGGACACAAGATCGAAAAACTTATCAGTGAGTTTTCCTCCAGTGAGAAGTCCACATGAATACTGTGTGTGTGTGTGTGTGCGTGTTTTGTTTCTCATCAATGGAAATATAGTCTGCAGAGCCTCTATACTCCACAAAGGCTCACATTCAAACCATGACAGTGTTATGGGCCCAAAGGGAAAAGAGAATAAAAATGCTGCTTTCTTTGTTTATTTTTTTGAAGAGAATCCAGTGTGGAGACATACTACGAGGACGGATGCTATCGTTTTGTATTTCTGTTTTCCAATGCCTGAAATGTTAAGTATTGATGCTTAAAAAATCTGTATATTTATAATATTTATAAAGTAAAGATTACCACCATTATGCAATAGACTGTGACATAAAGATACCTATATGTGTGTAAATAGTTTTGTAGATCTACTGTAGTACTTATGGATACTGTGTGATGCATTCTGTCATAACAATGTCTTACTTCTGTCCGCGGTCTGGTCTCCACTGGTCACGTGACAGATGTATCGTGACACAACAATGAATCAACAAACCTTCGTACAATCGCAATCACTGTGTTTTCGCCACAATTTCAGCTTTTGTTTGAGTCCGCGTTGGTTTTTGACGTCTAAAATGATGATATTTATGAGAACAAATCAAAAGGAGATGCTTTATTTATGGGGAAATGACTCTATAGACTGTATTTGCTGGACTATAAGCCTCTATTCTTTCAGGTTATTTAAATTTAATGATGTAGGACTGGACATTGGGTGTAGTTAAATAGAAAAATAAATTTGAGGTAAGGACAAAAGGTAAAAATCCAGAACTGAAAACATGCCAAGAACAAATGTGGTGTTGATAATGAACGGACAATATGTGGGGAGAAGCACAGGGAAGGTGTTCACACACAGAGAAAAAATAAATAGTAAAAAAAGTCCACATTGTGACATTATGTAATTTCTATTGTGGTAGAGTATTTTTGGGCACATTGCGATCAGCAGTGGTTTATGTTTATGTGAGCAGTAGAGAGAGACAAAACTGTTAGCTAACAGTGAACAGCTAATGTTTGCCTCCTCGGAATTCATTGTGTAATTTAGAGAGCTTTGATCGTCACGAGTCAAAAGTATGGTCAAAACAATTCCTGATCATCCCTCTCCAGGACGTTGCTATCTCCTTGGATCAATTTCAAGTCAGAGTCACGACCAACCTTTTAATAATGTGAAACCAAAACTGCATGAAATGAAAGATGATTATATATAGACACAGAATATGCCAATTAGTAGATTATATCATTATATCTCCCCTGGGTTTTTTCCTTGGGTCAGTTCTGTTTACCACTGTGGGCCATTGTTGCAAATCTGCAACATCCCAGAATGCATTGCCTGTGAAGGTCTCCCTCAAAAAAAATAAAGTCAGAATTGCATAATACTACCGCATATGATAATTTTCTCCAAATATCAGATTTTTCTTGTCATTTAAATTTAATTGTGCCCTGAGAAGGTTAAATCATGTTTATAAACTTGATTTACAGGTGTGCTTTATAGTCCAGAAAGTACTGTGTATGCTATCGAGAAATACCCCAAATACTTTTCTGTATCTGATCAAGGTTGATGTTTGCGTATTTATATATATATGTGAGATATTCTGCAAATATATTATGTTCCATTTTAGATTTTTCCTTTTGTCCATTGCAAACTGCATCAAGGTTTGTTGAATCAAATGCTTTATATTTTTACTTAGCCACTTAAAACCGAAGAGAAAGTTTAATGTATTAAGCGTGCAATAAGATCAACAATAAAAATAGAAATGATATATATATATATATAGATGAATATACTTATAGTTTTGAGTCGGGTAAACTTTTTTTTGTTTTTTTACGTGGCTAAGTCCTCGCAGATCACAATGCACAACCTGTCCGGATTTTTGTCAATGGTGTTTGGTGTCGTCGAGCCACCGCTGTTATGAGAGCATGCACTGTCACAGACTCTTCTTAAAAAGATACTCGCTCCGAAATGTTGACGATAAATGTAATGTTAGATTCTGTTCATTGTCTGTCTGCCTATAGATGTTATCTGTGTGTGGAACAGAAGCATTGACTCTTCACTAAAAGGACGTTCTTAAGTATTTTGTGCCTAAACTATAGCCATGATCCATTCTTTGTTCTCTGAGTGCGTGACTGGGAAAAGGCACTTATCTGCACACGACTGCGCATCCATCCTTACTATACTCTGTGTGTTCTGTGTATCTGTGTTGTAGACTGGAAACATGAGGATTCAGCAATGAACAAACAACTCCAAGATCTCGGCCAAAAAACTCAATTCATACGACGATATCCTAAAAGGCAAAAGTCAAGTTTCTTCCCCCTTTGCATTCCCGCGCTAGCCTAGCCTTAGCCGTCCATAAACTCTGGTCCAAGATCATTTCCTACATGTACGTCTGGGTCTAGTCCTAGTGGCTGCAGTTTCCTCGGTTGAATCCCCTCCGACCAATCAGAGAGCGGGGGAGGCGGGTGTTGTGGGTCGGTGTCGGTGACGTCAAGAGTTTGCGCCGAATTTGCTGGTTGTAGTTTGTCGAAGAATGCGATAGTAAAATAATCTGTTCTGATTCGGCTCCAAATATCAAGAAATTGAAGCCGGAGCAAGAGGAATGTTTTGCAAATGTCATTGCTGGCATCGATTTTGTGGCTCGACTCCACGCGGGCTCCCTTAGTGGCAAAGGAGATGGCTAAAGCTAGGATAAATGCTAAAGCTAGGCAATCGTTTCAATCTACAAAAGGAGTTAACCCCTCCCACCTGTTAACGGGGTCAAAGGAGCAAATCCAGACCTAAATGAAATGCGTACGATGGTGTGGTAAGACCAGGCTATTCCCACTCCCCATCTGTACAGTTAAAAAGTGCAATATTTGCTGTCGTACCACATCCAACATGAGTTACTACTGTATAAAGTCGTCACCACTTTTCTATCCTCCTTTGTAGCTGTAGCCACCACTGTTTGGAGTTTATTTTGACGTGTGAAGGAAACGTTGGCCAAAGCAGTCATAGTCTTGCTTTGAAATTGCACTTTCTGATATATAATAACTAAATGTTGCAATTACTAGTTTAGATGTTGAAGGGAGCAATATCCACAGGGGCGGGGCCTCGTCGCCGTCGCGCTCTTGTGCAAAGTTCTAAACGAGGGCGGAGATGTTCTAGTTACACTGCAAAAAGTGGTGAAAAATGAGTGAGAAATGGCAAAAATTTGGCAAAAAAATTATCTTTAATTTGAGCACATTCTGACTGCGTTAAAACAAGATTTGCCGACGGGACAAAGCAAAATGATCTTGTTTTAAAATGTGAAAATAAAGCAACAGTTCTTGAATTAAGAATAAATGCACTGATAAAAAATCCCATGGAAAAAATAAGATAATGCTTAAAATAATAAAAATAAAGCCAATAGAACAAGAAAATATGACTGGACAAGATTTCTGAAAATAATCCAAGCCCCAAACGACAAAAACATACATTTCAAGTATTATTTACTTTTTATCTTAAACATTTTTGAGAAAAGTTTTCTTAAAATATAGCATAACAAACTTATTTTATCTAAAGAAGAAAAGTTGTCTGGGAATAAAAATAAAAAAAATACTTAAAACAATCTTAAAAACTCACTGCTCAGACTTTTTTCTTTTATTATCTTAAAACTAGTGGCAACATGGCAAAAAAACTTGCCGTTCAAAAAATAAGCATCATTTATTTTATACTAACTAAATAAATCTTACCAAAATGTTACTCTTTTCAGTGTGTCTTTGTCCCATTGGTAAATCTTCAGTCGAATGAACTCAACTTTGCATAAAAACTCCTCGATTCCAGCATTTATCACCTCAAATTTGACCATTTTTTGCAGTGTGCACCACGGAGAGCGCTTAATCACGAATATGCCATAGTGTATAGACCTCGCGCACAGTCAGACGGACATCAGCACCGTTGGGTTGTGCTGTTTTTGATACTTGCCTTCAGAGGGAGAGAGCTTCCCAAAAACCATGTGCTTCTTTCACTGTACCAATCACTAACATTTTGGAATGGGCATTATTAGTGACGTACAACTCCGACTAACGAGCTTACATCTGAAGCAGAATAGACTCAACAAACCAGCACCTGCATCTGTGTATTTCTTTGTCTGTTTCGGTCCCGGAGCGGAGGAAAAAAAACAAAAATAAATAACCACCTGATGCAAAAATGGACTGAGATTTTTGCCCAAACTGGATCTTTGAAGACAACTGGAAACACGCTGCAAAAAGTGATGGAAAATGAGTAGGAAAAAATTGCTAAAATTTGGCTAAAAATGTATCTTTCTGACTGCATTAAAGGTATGGGGGAGGATTTTCTACTTCCGGGTGGATCGTCAAAACTATTGGTCCTAACTGTCAATCATTCTGGTGATTCGGGCTCGTCCAATAAGAGCAGAGAGTTTTGTTCAAACAGTGGAGACGGTGATTCTTTCCTAAAATGTGGAAAAATCCTCCGGTAT